GAAATGACAAAAATTAGGAGATTGTGCACTTATTATGGCAAATTTTTAAATGTTAGCATTTCAAAATTATTAATCAAAACTAATATTCAGTTAGAAAATGTAGAATATATGAAAATGAAAACTCTCACAGTCCGTAACCTAATGAGTATTAGTGTGTGATTCTTATGTGTTTTTAATTGTATTTTGTACTTTTTGAAAGGATTACTGGACATACTGGTTCATGAATATAGAATTCATGAATATAATTTTAAGTCATTAACTTTTGTATCTTTTTTCTTTCATGAAGCCACTGACTTTATTGATCTAAAAAACTTTACAGGATAGTAACTGTTCTGCCAAAAAAAGGAGCCAAGGCATCAAATATACTGGGGAGGAGGGGTTGAACAGGACTAGGAATCCACTCAGGAAGGCTGGTAACTGTCCCATGGAACTGGCAGGGGAAGGAGTTAGGGTAATGCACGCAAGAGTGAGAATTCCAAGAAGGTGGAAATGGTGGGGGAGAACTTGCAAAAGACCCTGGAGTGCATGGAGGTGAGTGTAGGAACAGCAGTCTTTTCTTTGTAGAAGGCAGGAATGAGCCTCCACTCAGCTTTAAACTCTGGAGACTCAACATGGGGATGGGGGCTGGGGCTTCCTAGAGAGCATCACAAGAAGGCATCACATCACTCTCAAAGGCACCCAAAGCAGTCCCAGGACTGCTTGGTATTGGTGCACACATATCCTTCAGCCATTTCCTGGAAGAGGTCTTCATCTTTCTTTAGCACCAGAAACTGACCAAGAACCACATAGGCCTTGTAAAAGCCCCTTTCCTTCAGCTTCTTGCCCAGGACTTTGCCAATTCCGGCCAGGCTCCCCACTGGCTTTTCCTCCGTGGGCTGTGCCACAAAGTCTCGGTATTTTGTGGAGGTTGTCATCTTGATTGGTCTTAATTGGCAGCTCTGGCTCCCGTAACTGCTCCTTCTGCCACTCAGCGGCTCCCATCGGTACCTCTAGCCACTAGAACCTCAGTATTATTTTAATGCTTACAAGTAGCTGTTGAATCATTGGTCAAGTTTGTTAACTGGCTCCTGTTACTGAGCATTAGGCAAGGTATGTTTTTTAAATTCTTTTGTAGTACTGGGTTTTGAACTCAGGGTCTTCACCTTGAGCCACTCTAGCAGTCCTTTTTTGTGATTGGTTTTTTTCCGAGATGAACTTGTTTCCCGAGGTTGGCTTCGAACCGTGATCCTCCTGATCTCTGCCTCCTGAGTAGCTAGGATTACAGGTGTGAGTCACTGGCACCCAGCTCCAACGTATGGTATTTTGTGGTTACTTAGGGTTATGTAAAGGCATTAGTGAATATCCCTAATTTAAAACAATTTAAAATATTTTAGTATGTATCTGTAAAAGACTGGTTTTTTGTTTTTTTTTTTTTTTTTTTTTTTGTGATACTGGGGATCAAATCCAGAGCCTTGTTCATGCTAGGCAAACACTTAACCACTTAGCTACATCCCCAATTTAAAGACTTTGTTTATAAACATCATACAAAGCCATTATCACCCTTAAATTAATAGCAATTTGTAATATCTTCAGATATCTAATGTTCAGTTTTTCATATTATCTCAAATACTTCTTTTAATCTTTGCTTGAAGAAGGTCCTACTTAAGGTTCATCTGTGGCATTTGGTTGATAGATCTCTAAGGTGTTTTGTAATTATAGGTATTCCTTTTTTTTTTTCTCTTTTTTCTTTGGAATTTATTAGTTTAGTGAGTCAGGTAATTTGTCTCACACATTTCGTACAGTCTGAATTTTGCACATTATGTATCTCTGTGGTGATGTTAGATGTTCTTCTGTCCCCAGTCTATATACTGATAGTTGGGTCTAGAAACTTGATTAGGTTTATGTTTGATACGCTTTGAGAGAGGAGAATATTTACTAGGTGTTTAACTGTGCAGTCGTCATCCCTCAGTATCCACAGGGATACTCTCCACCCAGGATACCAAAATCCACAGATGATAAAAGTCCCCCACTTTTTTTTGGTAGTGGTACTGGGGTTTGAACTCAGGGCCTCTTACTTGCTAGGCAGGCACTCTACCACTTGACTATTCCACCAGCCCGATATAAGTCCCTTTTATAAAATAGTGTAGTATATTTTTAGCATATAACCTGTGCACCTCCTCCCATATACTTTAAATTATCCCTAGATTATTTTTGATAATCTAGTACAATGTAAATGCTATGTGAATAGTTGTTTGCTGCATTGTTGAGGGAATATGACAAAAGTCTGTAATGTTCAGTACATACACCATTTTTTTCTGAATATTTTTGATAGATGGTTGAATCTGAATGCATAAACCTCAGCTTCAGAGGGTTAGCTCTGCTTGCGTAGGCACATCAAGCCTGTTGTCTGTTTTTGTCTTGGTCTATTATTTCACTAAGTGCTGTAGAATAATACATTTCATATCCATCCTTTCTTTATTTTGTAGCTATTTACTTCTGTTAATAGAAAACCCCTCATTATTGATTTGGTAACCCTGAGGTACACTTTATATAAGAGACGCAGGTTGAATTTTGATTCTTAATCTTTGCTTATTAATTTTCTCAGTAACTTGGTTTTCTGGCATCTGTCCAAGATGGTGTCTATTGAAGCTACGTTTGCTTTTAGTATCATTACGAATTCACGGATGTAAGCATTTTAATCATGACGCCATCCTCAGGGAAACTCAAATTGGCCCATCTTTGGCTGAGCCTCTTTAGCTTGGCCCTTGAGCTTTGATAGAGCTTCAGTAGTTTGCGATTGCTGTGCTCTTTTCTGTTAAGAGAAGATCCATGTTTCATTTTAATGTGAAATTGGTATCTAGGGAGCACACCTGGAGCCCAGCAGGGCTTATTGATACTGAATTTGTGTTTTTGGTGAATTTGTAGAGCCAGGACCCACAGACATACGTGGGCAGTTTTGCTCTGTTTGGAGATAAAAATGCACCATGACTTCCACCTGGCAATTTCCAACCTGAAATCAGAACCAGGTGCTTTTTGACCTCTGCAGTCTTGGCAGCAGTGTCACTTTCCCTCTCGTGACATTTGTTTGCAGCACAGAGTCACCACAGCAGGACCACCAGCAGGCTGATTTCTGAAACTAGTTCAAGATTTGATTTCTTTTAAAATTTTTATTTGTTGTGATGATGGGGATCAAATTTAGGGCCACTCATATTCTTTACCACTGAGCTATACCCCCAGGCACAATTTTACTTCTCTTTTGGCCTTTTATCCCCCATACTGTTCCACTGGACAAGTACAATGTAATTAAAGTCTCTCAAAGTCGCTTTTTATTTCCCTGTAAGGTTATGACACCAACCTGACACACAGCTCATTCGTTAACTTTTCTTTCAGATATTAGGAATTGCCATTCTAGGTTTTGAATTTTATGAAATATCTACAAGGCTCCAAAGTTTAAAATAAAGAACACTCAGAATTTCTGTTCAACCATGTCCCTGTACTCTTCTCCTTCACCTATCAAGTAGGTGACCAGTTAAAAATTTTTTTTTGCTTTTATTTTATCTCTTTATTTAAAGCCATATGTAAGAAAACATACCTCTTTATATGAGATAAGGGCTTATAGTTTTCTTACAGGCTTTATATGTATTTTATTGGTTTCTAAGTAGTGGATATTTACTATATCATGAAATATTTTCCCTTTTTGTTGTCCCTTTTTAAATCTTTTGTTGGTGCATAAGAATGTGTTTTAATGATGGCTGTTTCAGCTCTTTCCAACCTTTTTTTTTTTTTCTGTTAAAAATAATGCTTCCAGGAAGAGTTTCAGCACACGTCTTTTTGTGAATATTTTTTTGCATCCGTGATCTTCTCCAGATACAATTTGAAAAGTAGAAGTGCTTGGTCAAAGGCTGCACTTTGTAAAACTGCTCTTTCAAAGGTAGTACCATCAGTAGCATGAGCAAAGAGCTGATATGAGTGCTTGCTGACTGCTGCCTGTGTGGCCCCTGCTGATTTCCTGGGCAGTAGTATGTGGTGGGGCTGAGGTACCCCACCTTTGCTTTTTCTTGTGAGGGCATATTTTTTAATTTGTCCTATAGATATTTTAAATATTTAAATATTTTACAAATATTTGTGCTGCATTTTGCATTGAACTTTTTTTTGGAATAATTTTATCTTTAGATTAATTTGAGGATTGTGGACATCCTTAAAATATTTAATCTCTTATCTAGAATATGAAATGGGTTATAGTTTTATTAGAGGTCTCACACATCATTTGTTGATTTCCATTTGAATTCTCCTTTTAAAATGTTTTTGAAAAATTTTTTGCTGGTATGTTCTTACATTGATTAACTTGTTGATATTTACTTCATAAATGGCTATTTAATCCTTTTACAGTATCTTAGTTTTAGAGGATTTGCTGGCTTAGATATTTTTAGAAAAGACTAATAATACATAATCTTAGCAATACTAGAGCTATTTAGGGCAAGTGTCCTATGTCACATGCAACACATGGAGGCTGTGTTGTGTAATTGGATTCTCTGACCCTAGTACTTTGACCTACACTGTCATGTGTTAGCCAGTGAATCTCATATTCCTGAGGTATGGTCAGGGTACGCTCCTCCTGGGAGTGTGAGGACATTTGCCTAGGTATCCAGGGTGACATGTTTGTATTAAAAAGATCACAATGGAACTGCAGCAAGATCTGGCATTCAGGCCTCTCAATACTGTTGTTTCAGGAATGTCTGTGTGGTTACATTCCCAGAAGCAGCAAGTGGGTTCGGATTCTATGTGGATTGGGGCATTGTGGTTATTGTGTGTCTTCAGTTATTTTTACCTCAGGATCACTGTTCCTTCAAGTTACCCCCAACCACTGACTGATTGAGAAGTACAGAATGTTGTCTGATAGGAATTCCCACCTTCCT